TCTGACGCGAGCGGCGCTGAGGTGAACGAACCAAAATTGTGATATTGTGGAACTGTTGCTGCTGGTGCATCGCCGATGGCGAGGTATTGGAGATCAAGGACGGAATTAGGAGCATATATTCTTCACCAAGACGTAGCGCTTACCTGATTGTTTATCATAGGACTTCAGCTCCATCACGAACTTGGTATGCACTTCGTGCTGTGATTTTTGTGCTTTTTTGTTCGCAATTGTATTTTCTCTCAACTTGAAGGGCTACCACGGGTCATATCCTTGCCTGGACATAGTCATATTTTTGTTTTCCGGACGCGTCCAGGCATACAGATTTTGAAAATATATAGTTTACCCATACCTACAACTCACGGAACTTGAGTTATGGCTCGTTATTTGTACGCGTGTTTGCGTGACCACCCCTCACATACATTGAGTAAGACCCACAAAGGGTTAAATGTATTTCAGTTGAATCAGCTTTGTGCCCTACTATCTACTGGCGTTGTTCTGCTGCCATTATTTGCTTTGCAGTGACCTGTCATGGAACCTCATCGCAGCCATTGGTGACTCATTCGCACATATGGCCGAACTCCAAACACTGTAAGTGCTCCGGGACTGTGCATGGCTGCTGCATGCTGCGAAGAGTACATTACTTCCCAAGAGTGTGCAGCTCGACTATGGGTGCTGCTCCGATCCGCCAAAATTTCAAGTTGAAGCCATTCTTATGATGCAATGCGCACTGCACTGTACATGGCCCCCAGACATATCCTGAACCGGTGGCGGACAAAGCCCTATTTGATCCTGTACAGACTAGTGGAAAGAACAACGTGTGATACTCTACTGTTCAAACTGCATACTGCAGTAAGTTAACAAGCACAGTGGAACCGGTCTAAGACGACCGCTCAAGGGATCTTCAAAACGTGGTCTCAGATACCAGGTGGTCTCTTTATCCAGGGTCATTTGACTGGAAATAGCATCCCTTGGTGCTGGTTTTAGTGGTCTTCGAGGACAGGTGGTCGCCATATCCGAGTGGTCGCCTTGACAGGTTTTTCTGTACTGGATGTGTGATCTCTGCTCTGCTGAAAAAATAAGATAAATTCAAGGTTCACGTCAGGTGAGGCTGAAGGCCGAGTTTCCCGCACCCTTAGGAACGCCACCACCCTCAAAGATCATGGTGCAGATGCAGCTCCTAAGCGGTGGGAGGTGAGTAGATCAGACCCACCAAAGTGGTCAAAGACCGAACTTCCCACTCGCTCCATACATGTTTCATTCGTCCCTCAACTGATAAAACCTGGCTTTTTTAAGGGGTCTTCACCTTACAACAAGGAAACCAGTTTGAAAAAAGTGTTTCACTCCGTGTGTCATGCACTATTTAAAGCGATCATCAGAAAACAGTAATGAGAAAAATGTGGATACTGGTTTGTTCGAACAGCAGTCTTCAGCGAGTAGTCCAGATGTGTTGTCAACCTCTTCAAATGTCAGACTTGACGCGTTTTATTAAACATTCATGTGTTCTTGTGTTTGTCATAGGAATCTGAGTCACAATCAGATCCAAGGTATCTCAGGTGGGGCGTTTGCTGAAGCAACCAGTCTGCGGACCATGTAAGTCGTGTCTATGATATCCGTACACTGTAGCATCCAGGGGACCACAGTATACATATCCAGCGACGCACACTCTGACACAACTCCAGAAACGAATACCCACCTGCCCACCGATGCACCCTAGCACAGACATGCATGCATGCATCCACCCACATTCGCGTGCACAAGCATGTACAACCACACTCACACAGAGAAACACAGACACACAGATGCATACACACATGCACACACACACACCTCAGACCTCAGACCTACCCATTGCAGAAGCGATGATAGCAAACAGGTATGTTTAGACATAGCGACTTGTGCAAACACACACATACACACACACACACACACATACACACACACGCACACACACACACACACACACGCACACACACACACACACACACACACATACACATACACACACACACACATACACACGCACACACACACATACACACGCATACACACACACACACACACATACACACACACACACACACACACACACACACACACACATACACACACACACACTCACACACACACACACACACACACACACACACACACACACACACACACATACACACACACACACACACACACACACACACACACACACACACACACACACACACACTTGTACTTGCTCACTGCCAAAACTGGTCACGTGGGTCTCCCCGGGAGAGGGGAGAGAGACTCAAAAGGAATCTTGGAAAGATGACTCAACTGGCTATTGAACCGCCCAACGGCCGACACCCCCTGAAATCCCCAAAACTCTGGGTGGACTTGAAAATGATCCCCCTTATGGGCTCACCACACCTCAGTAAGTGGGTGAGGACAAGGTGCAGAAAAAGGATTGACGGCATCAGGGTATCCGTCCTGAGATCCAACTGCAGTTACCCCTGCCCCCAGTGAAGGTAATACTTGCTACTAGTGTGGGTGGCTAAATCAGAGTGGATCTGATCTAAGCGTCACTAGCATCATTGATTACACAAGAGTTAATCTAGCCAGAAGCAGTCCATGGTCAACAGGTATGTATACTTCAAATAGAAAGTAACCAGAAACCAACAAAGGTGGCAGATACAACAATACACCTTCAAGCAGCCGAGCCTGTTGGCAACAGACCCAACACAATCAGGCATAAGTGTACCCACCAACCGGACTAGCTTGCACACACATACACACACACACACACACACACACACACACACACACACACACACACACACACACACACACACATGCACACACACACACACACACACACACACACACACACACACACACACACACACACACACACACACACACACACACACACACACACACACATGCACACACTCACACACATGCACCCACCCACAGACACACACACACACACTCACACACATGCACACACACACACATGCACACACACACACACACACACACACACACACACACACACACACACACACACACACACACACACACACACACACACACACACACACTCACACATGCACACGTGCATTCACACAGCGTGCACCAACCTTTCATCAATGATATTGCATTTGGAGAGGATATGATGGAATGCCGAACAGGACAGACAGTACCTGAGGTGATACTTTAACTTGCCAATTCTGCCAAATGCTCTGCTACATGAGGCGTGCATGCCGGTGGGTGAGGTGAGGGAATACCAGTGTTATTAGATCTGCTTAGGAATATTCGAGTTGTCCGCAGCGAGCCTGTTCACTGGGGCTCGAGAACCATCAACTAACATACTCGAGTGCATACATACATACAACTAACATGCTTGAGTGTTTTTCTTTCTTTGCATCATCATTAATTTTTATGCTGTCAATAAAAACATGCGTCTGATCAACTAATATTAGTCACAGTCTTCTGCTTTTCACCGACACTTCTTCGGTCCCGGATGGAGAGCCAGGGTTTAATTTATACAAAAGAGAAAGGACCAAGTAACTACAAGTTACGCTATACTGTCCACCAACACCACCAGTTACTAAGCAATCAGCTCATGCGATAACTGACCGACGGCACTGACGTTCTACAACGAACTGGCCAACAGCTCTTCGGTCCATGCGGTGTTGTCGTTGCTCCAAGCTGCCTACAACCATGTGTTGTGTTATGTTGCGTACGCAGGAGAGAAATGAGCTTTGTTTTTGCCATCAGTGGCGGGTTTAGGGGGGGGGGCGCGGGGGGCGCGCGCCCCCCCCTCAAAAATTTCGACCTAGGTTTCGAAAAATAATACAGGGAGCGCGCCGGGTCGAGCTAGACTAGGCAGTAGGCTCGGGGCGCGCGCGGCCTGAAACGATTGTCCAAAAGCGGTTGCACGGTGCGCGCATGCGGTGCTCGAGCTGGTGTTGATTGTACACACTACTTATAGAATAGTAACTGAGCCCGAGTGTTTACGAAAAATAAAAACCCGAGTCAAAAAACCGAGGCGAAGCCGAGGTTTTTTGACGAGGGTTTTTATTTTTCGTGAACACGAGGGCGAAGTTTCTATTCTTTTTAAAATAAACTAATAAAAAACGATTTTCATGAGACTCCATTTTGGATCAATCTTTTTGCAGGCTCATCGTGCGTTTTCGTTCTTTCTGTCTTTGGGCAACTTTGGCAAGATGGCAGATTCAGCTTCCTCTTCTCGTTTCGTTCCAGTTTCTGACGAAGAGAAGGCTCGTCTTCTAGACGAAGCAGTACCTCAGAAAACAAAGCAGGCAACGAGGTTTTGGATGTCTGTGTTCAAAGACTTTTGTTCGGACAATGAAGATGCCCGAAAACTTCTACAGGAAAAGGACGCTGACTGGATGAGCATCGAAGAGGAAACATTAGCCTCTTTATTGGAGTCCTTTTACTGCTGTGCCAGGAAAAAGGATAAAACTGAGTACAAGCGTGCTTCTATGATTGCGGCCAGAGGTGCTATCCAGCGCCAACTCAATATCTTCAACAGAGGAATTGACTTGAAAAGTCTAAAGTTCGACCGCGCCAACAAACTGCTCGATGCTGTTCTCAAGGACAAAAAGAAGAATGGTCGAGAGGCCCCGGTCACGCACAAGGAGACGATTTGCGATGCAGACTGGGAGAAACTGTCCGGGTATTTCGCAGACGTGAGCACTACTCTTGACGTAAAGAAGCTCACTCAGTACGTGTGGTTCAACTGCACGATCCATTTCTGTCTTCGTGGAAACGAGGCACAATCCCAGCTCAAGCCATCCGACCTCGTATTCACGACAATCGCTGGTGAGGAAGCCATTGTTCTGCACGCTGATTATATGTCAAAGAACCATCAGGGTGGTCTGACAGGGAGCCATACCGAGACCAGCGGAGCAATCACAAGATCTGATATGATCGCTGTTTTCCGAAGGTACCTGTCAAAGCTCCATCCAGAAATGGATCGTCTATTCCAGCGGGCAAAGTACGGAAGTGGAGTGCTCGCCATGGACTGTGATGTTTGGTTTATGAAGTCGGCACTTGGACACAACACATTGGGTAAGTAGCTGTATTTTCTCCCATTTTGAACGGCGTTTTGTATAACTCTTGTTCCAAGCTTCTGTGATTGGTGTCAGTGTTCCCTCTCAGGTGTTCTATACTTGTACCTAATTTTTATTGAGATTCTGGAGGTTGTGATGAATGACTCATTTCACTCATTAAGATATCTGTTTCTGTATATTTTGTGATACTGCTATGCAGGAAAGATGATGAAGGAGATTTCTTCAGCCGCTGGCCTTGGCCAGACGTACACTAACCACTGCGTCCGTGTTACTTCTATATCCCACATGAAGGCCTCCGGAGCTGAGGATCGCAAGATCTGCACCGTAAGTGGTCATCGCAATGTGCAGTCACTTCAGGCATATGACCGACCGACGGCATCGGATGTCATGGCTTTGTCAAAAGCAATTGACAAGGAAAATGTTAGTCCGCAGACATCACCAGCACCTGTATCTGCTTCACCCGTGTCTGCACCGCCTGCTGCTGTCGCTGCTGCTGCATCATCTAGTCCTTCACCACTGGGCTCTCTGTTCTCTGCTCAAGGCTCAACTTGGTCGAATGTTACTATCAACGTAACTCCACAGCTGCCTGAGAAACGTAAGAATCGCCCGAGTTTGAAATTGAAGAAGAAGCCAAAGAAGGAGCATGATGATGATGATAAGTGAATTTTTGTATCTCTTCTTCTTGTTGTGATCTCTCGTTCTATTACTCTACGCTCTACTCTATTTTTCTGCATATTCTCCTATTCAATCCCTAAAAAGTGGTTTTTTATAGCTACAGGTTTTTTATAGCTACAGGTTTTTTATACAGGTTTTTTATCACTGGCAGGTTTTTACAGCCATGTTTTATAGCTACAGGTTTTTTATTGAGGTCTATACACGATATAAACAACTTGCATTCATCACAAAAATATGCAGAGGTTTTTATTAGTATATTTTAAAGACTAGTACAGTACAGTCTACAGAGTAGAGTCTACGTACAGTGAGCATGCACGGCTACAGAAACACGGTGACCTGACTGTGTACTGTTGTACAGTGTGATCCCTGCTGGGACGCGCTCGACGCGTCTTCAACGGTACAAACATCGAAGAAAAGTCTTCGATCGAGTCAACCAAAACACGATTCGAATGCCGAGGGCTCAGGCGATCATCCTCGTTCGAATCGTGTTTTGGTTAACTCGAAGGCTTTTCTTCGATGTCTCAGGGACATCCCAAAAGGCCAAGCTCTAGCCAGCAGAGCCTGGAATTTTTGTAAAGCGTTCCTGTGGCGGCGCAACTCCTGCTGCCGCAGGCACATGCACAGGCAGAGATGCCTTCCCACCTGCCCATAGGACAGGTTCTCACAGAATGATATGCAAGGGAAAACAAGAAATGATAATAATAATAATATAAGACAGAAAGGACCAAAAGAAGAAAGGGAAAAATTTATATGAAGAACAATTTCATGGAGTCAGAAATAGAAAGACAATAATTTCATGGAGTCAAAGAATAGAAAGACAATCTCATGGAGTAAGGAACACGTGGTTGATTTTATAGACATGCATGCACAAATGATTGATAGATGAGAAGGTTGGAATTTATGGCAGATAATAAAAGTTTAACGAGGATATTCACAAAGTAAGTATAGCAATGGGAGAAAGAGTTTTTCGGAAGGGACCAGGGACACGTATCACTCTAAAATCAGAGGGGAGAGCGTTCCAGAGAATGCTTCCCCAAAACATCATGCTCGATCGTCCCTCAAGCCCACGAAGAAAGGGAACTTGAAGCAAGGTCGACACTTGTCCCCATGTGGTGCGCTGATCCTCCGGAACTGTCTCTGGCCCTGGGGCCGTTCGGGTGAATAACTGTTGAAGAAGGGGGCTACAGGAGGAGCTTCCTGACATCGGTTTTCAAAATGGCTGACCTGGGACAGTAGCATGATGTCATCTACCCCCACCCCATCCCGCCTTGATCCCAGCCGCAACCCCCCCTCAGCCAAATCCTGGACACGCCACTGGGCCATTGATAGGGAATACCAAAACAGGGGACCACACAGTTGGTAGCAGTCCATCTTGCGGGATTCTTGCCTGTTATGAATCATCGTTGAAACATTCACTTTAGAGCTAACTAAATTTTATAGATCGTTCCCATGTGTAACAGGGCACTTTGATCCGACATGTGCTAGGCCGGCTCTGTGATCAATTCTAGCATGCACTGTCAGCATAGATGAAAATCGAACTACTGGCATTAAAATGCAAATTTTAGCTTTAACTTTAAAAAAATAATAGTCTCTGCGATCTGTGGGGTAATTCAACTGTGATCGTTTGCTTGTGTGTGTATGTGTGTGTGTATGTGCGTGCGTGCGTCTGTGTGCGTGCATGTGTGTGTGTGTGTGTGTGTGTGTGTGTGTGCACGCATGTGTGTGTGTGCGTGTGTGTATGTGCATGCGTGTGTGTGTGTGTGTGTGTGCTCGTGTGCATGTGCAGTGACCTGTCTGCAAACCGGATCACGCAGACTGGTTTTGCTTTCTCCAATCTGCCTGATGTCCAATTGCTGTAAGTACCTGACGTCCTGGCTGCCGTGTGATGCATATTTATCACTAGTTTGACAGCATTTTACGAGGTGGTAGGACACCGTGCTCTGAAACAGTGCCCCTTTCTACAACCAGCCACGGTTGACAGAGCCCCGGTCTTACGACCACAAGGTGTTCCACCGCCTTGTAGCATGCTGTCAAACTAAAAACGGGTCTCTACTATACAGGGTCTATCTAAGAACATATTTATTGCTAGTACCTGGGAGCGGATGACCTACGCAAAATCAGGTTGTCTTTTAACTTTGCAATATGCCCGTTGCGCATTGCCAAATATGGATTGCAGGAGTAATGCATGTGAGTACGCTGGTGTCGTCGGGGGTTTAAGTCCAGGTGATGGGCTTCTACGACGATCAGGGATGAGCTGTTCAACACCCCCGACGACCATGCCCAGGCGGCTGTGTGGGGTGTTCGCCGTACAAATAATTACGGCATTGCGCAATGGGCTTATTAGACAACCACTCCTGGCACATCAAAAGATGGCCAATTAATCAGTTGAACTGAGGGGTGAGCTCCAGCTGTGGCGGAACGGATTATATAGAGAGGGAGGACAGAGTGAAAAGAGAAGGAGGAACATAAAGAAAACAACACAGTTGATTGCTTATAGTCAGATGTTCATACGTTGTGTTGCCAGCTATTTGAATAAGCCCGTCGCGCATTGCCAAATATGGAAGGTATGCGTAATGCACGTGAGTACGCTGGGATCAGGAATGCACTGTTCAACACCCCAGACGACCATCGTCAGGCGAAATAGCACGTCATAGTACATTCGAGATCATCGAGAAGAAGATGACGACGTCCACTAATTTAGTATCTGTGCACACGAATCTGCTGTGTGTGTTACTCTGTGTGTCAGCTATGGCATCATCGCCTGTGGTTCCATGCCTAGCATGTACGTCTGAACCATCCTGCAAAGTTTGAATGACGTAGGTTGAGCGATCGCTCCGCGAAATATACTTTTTGAAATTCTCTTCATAGTATATCTTCCACCATTGAAATTTCGAATTTCTTCTTTTTTGTTGTTGAGAGGGGTGGCTTGCAACCTCGATATGGCTTGTTCCAGGCATGCTTTGGAGCCATTGCCTGTTGAAACAGTGGCGGAAAGCGGCCCTGCAACTGTTCCAACCGGAAATTAATCGATCCGAGAAAGCGCAAGTCCGCGAATCTCGGTCGAATATTGAGTATTTTAAGCCTTTTCACGACGAAGATGGAGTTCTTTTTGGAGATGGACGTTGCGGCAAAGGACATGGTGTCCTACTTCTGGCGTCTGGTGAAGCCAGGGATCATTTGTCCAGTCAGGTCGGCAGCCTAACCGTCGGTAAGCTTGTGTTTGGATCCCGTTCTGCTCGATGTGGTAGATCACAAACAATTTGATATCGCACAAATTGATCTCAGCATCGTGCGTACGGTATTTTATATTCAGAAAATCCCAAAGTGTCTCTGTGTGGCCGTCCTATGCCACGAGAAACTCCAATCAGGCTCCTATGTCCTCTGCCTTCATGATTGAATGTCCAGTTCATTTGAACAACGAACACAACAATCGAGGACGGCTTTGCAATGAAAAATACAGCTATACTGGAGCTGAAAAAAGGAAGAAAAAAACGTGCTCAGGATGAGACTCGAGTACACGCATACTCTCCCAGCAGGTGAAACGCAAATTTTTGTGAAAAATGCGTGTCGCCGACTGACCAGTAATTTCGCCTGACGTGCCCAGGTGGCTGTGTAGGGTGTTTATGGTACAAATTACGTCATTGCGCAATGGTTTTATAAATGCGTTGACATCTCTCCACACAGCACATTCAACTTTCAAACGCAATTCTCTCATCGCCGTGCCAACCTTTTCGGATCTGGCAGCTCCGCATTTAATCAATAGACCATTATACACGCGGCTCTGGTAGCAATAATTGATCATAAGTTGTGCTTCAAGTTGCAAAATTACTACTCCTACTTGTACACAACGGGGCATTCCACCAATGCTGTTGGCATTCCTGCTTGAATATATGATAATCCCATGTGGCCGGTGCATCCTGAAATGCCATCGTTATGGCCTTGTGGCATGTATAACTCTCAGCAGCTGCATTTTCACGGTGGGCGCGGAGGATGGCTCTGCAGTGATCTTCAGCCATTGTGTTTTGTGTACACTGCTTTCTATTTCTTTCAGGGATCTATCATCAAACAAACTCTTCTCGCTTCGGCCACTTCTGTTCAAGAGCTTTACAGAAACCGCGTAAGTAGTTTTAAACATTAGTACGGGCGGGAGCATTGTGCATTTCGCTTGGTTTGCGTTTGTGAGGAAGATTGGCAAAAAAGGCCCGTTGTGCATTGCTGAATACGGATTGCAGGACCAATGCATGTGAGTGCACCAAGATCAGGAATGGAATGTCCCATGTCCCACGTTTCTTGGTCCTTTTCTCATTACTATGCAGGGGCGTCGGAGACGGTACGGTTACCACGGTATTGACCGTACCACTTTTTGCCCCAGGTACCCCGTGAATCAATAAAATACACTGATCTGGACTCTAAATTTCCAAAATTTTCGTCTCAGCCACCCCTTCCCCACACGAGTGAATTGTACTTCAGATGGCTGACCGTACCACACTAAATTACCTTCCGACGTCCCTGCTATGGGATTAAAGACCTGTGAAATTTTGAACAAAATCGATCGGGCCATTGTGCTCTGTGTTTCTCTGATCTTGTTTCTGCAGAGAGATTAGGCTTCAGAACAACCCACTTGTTGCCGACTATAGACTCTGCGAAGCACTGTTCAACCCGCAAAAGGCATACGTTATTTCCTTCAGCCAAGCCGAGACTTTCCTGCAGGGCCAATCGCGTAAGTTCCGTGAATACGGTGCAAGTGTTGCTATGGTGATACTAGGATACAGTGAAACCTGTCTAAGACGACCGCTCAAGGGACCTGCAAAAAGTGGTCTCTGTAACCAGGTGGTCTCCTCATCCAGGGTCGTTTGACTGGAAACACAGTGAAACCTCGTTAAAAAGAACACTGATAAGACAAACTTTCGCTTTAGAAGAACTAGTGTTCATAGCTCTATTGGATAACTCACTGTGTATTCACTGGGTATAACATACGGATATGAAGAACTCCCGTTATTGCAAACAAATACCACTGGTCCCTTGGTGTTCGTCCCAAAGAGGTTTGACTGTAGCATCCCTTGGTCCTGGTTACAGCGGTCTTCTGAGGCAGGTGATCGCCGTATCAAGGTGGTCGCATTGACAGGTTTTACTGTAGTGCATAGGAATCTGCTATAAGTCGGTTTCACATCTATCACATGACCATACAGGGACAGCCATGTTTGTTCCAACCCCACACAAACGCGGCCTCTATGGGTCACATGATGTCAGCCATGTTTGTTCCAACTCCACTCAACCCCTGCATCTATGGGTCACATGATCTACAGTCCGTTTCAAAACTATAGACGCGTAGGGTTTTTGAAATATTTCAAATTTGGCTGGAACTTTTTGAGAATAGTTTTCGGAATATTGCTCAGGACCGCTCCACAATTACTCTCATATAGTTTCTAAACGATTGGATAACAGACGCCCGATTTGGAAAAAATTCTTGCACAAAGTGATCACAGATTTTATGTGGTATAGATGCTGGCATAACGGTCTTTGCCTAGGTACGCGTCTATAGTTTTGAAATGGACTGTAGGCCATGTTGGTTCCAACTCCAGTCAACCCATGCATCTGTGGGTCACATGATGTCAGCCATGTTTGTTCAAACTCCACTCAACCCCTGCATCTATAGGTCACATGACCATACTGGACAGCCATGTTGGTTCCAACTCCATTCAACCCCTGCATCTATGGGTCACATGATGTCAGCCCTGTTGGTTCCACTGTCCACACGACATGATCAATTTCTGTATTGAAACTTATTCCCGTGGCAAAGATGTGAAACCAGTCCACTGTGATGTGCCAACATGGGCAGAGATTAGATCAGCTACTGCTAGGCTTAAAGCCTCTGGACAGAACCACCTGACATACTTTCAACCTATTTGGAGGGAGAGAAAGATAGATAAATGGATAGTTAGATAGACAGACAGGCAGCCTGGGAGACAGACAGATTGACACAGACACATGCCGTAGTAACGCACATATAGGCGCATGCGCCCATATTCGGAACCATGAAACTGACACTACAACACCCAGTCAAACACAAGGACGCTGGCAAATGAACTCTGATCGCATATGCGCGTTTAGTTGAAAAATATTTCATTTTTGAAAATCGGATTCGTAGCAAAAATTCACTTATAAGCGCATGTGCTTATATGTGCGTTATTACCGCACACAGAGATAAACACTGACACAGACACACAGACAGAACTCCAGGCAGACAGACGTTATAGGCAGGCATATAGGCAGAAAATAGGCAGATAGCTAGATAGAGAGATAGATGGAGAGAGAGAGAGAGAGAGAGCGCGCGTGTGTGTGTGTGTGTGTGTGTGTGTGTGTGTGTGTTTGTGGGAGAGAGATATGTGACTTTTTATGTGGGCATGAGTGCTGCATGTTCGTGTGAATGCATTTGTGTGAGTATCTGCTTGTGTATGTACATGTGTGAGCATGTGTGTGTGTGTACGTGTGTGTGTGCGCGTGTGTGCGTGCACAAGTGTATGCGTGTGTATATGTGTATGTGTGTGTGTGTTTGCATGTGGGTCTGTGCATGTAGTTGTTGTTGACTTTTATTTTACTTGCATGTGTGTGCATTTGTGTGCGTGTGTGCGAGTGAGTGCGTGTGTGCGTGTGGGCATGTGTGTGCATGTGTGTGCATGTGTGTGCATTTGTGTGTGTGTGTGTGTGTGTGTGTGTGTGTGTGTGTGTGTGTGTGTGTGTGTGCATGTGTGTGTGTGGGTGTGCGTGTGCTTGTGTGCTTGTGTGCGTGTGTGCGTGCGTGTGTGTGTGCTTGTGTGCATGTGTGTGCGTGTGTGCATTTGTGTGTGTTTGTGTGTGTGTTTGTGTGTGTTTGGGTGTGTGAGCGTGTGTGAGCGTGGGACCATGTGTGCATGTGTGTGTGTGTGCATTTGTGTGTGGGTGTGTGCGCATGTGTGCGTGTGTATGTGTGTGTATGTGTGTGCTTGTGTATGCATGTATGCGTGTGTATGTGTGTGTGTGTTTGTGTGTGTGAGTGAGTGCGTGCGCGTATGTGTGTGTGTGTGTGCATGTGTGTGTATGTGTATGTGTATGTGTATGTGTGTGTGTGTGTGTGTGTGTGTGTGCGGGTGCGTGTTGTGTGTGCGAGTGTGTGTGTGTGTGTGTGTTTGCATGTGTGTGTGCGACTGTGTGTGTGTGTGTGCATTTACACGTGACGTATCCAGTGAACACCGTGTGTGGCAAAAAGTGCCAGGATTTCCGCCCAGACTACATGAAGATCTGTCCCAATGCGTTCTGCAAGGGAATTGTTGCCGCACACAGCTGTTTCGCAATTCCACGTGGTGAGTAGTGAGCTGTGCTCATGCATATTTTCTTTTATGAGCGTTAAAATTCCTCGCATTTTGTGAGTTTCTGCCATAACATCAAAGAGAGAGGGAGAGTGATTCACTTGCGAGTCTCTACAGTGCATTTCAAAACTATAGACGGGTTTTTGAAATATTTCAAATTTGGCTGGGACTTTTTGAGAATAGTTTTCGGAATATTGCTCAGGATCGCTCCACAATTACTCTCACATAGTTTCTAAAGGATTGGATAACAGACGCCCAATTTGGAAAAAATTATGCACAAAGTGATCACTGATTTTATGTGGTATAGATGCTGGCATAACGGTTTTTGCCTAGGTACGCATCTATAGTTTTGAAATGGACTGTAGGGCCTCACTCTGTATACATAAGTTGGCGCTTATGAGTGGTCCTCCTTCACACTGTCTGCATATCGCCCGTACGCTGTGCCGCTGACTCACCACCATAACTTCCTTCGCATAGCCTCTAACTTATTTATCGTAAAAATGGATTTGGATGATCCTCTGACATTGTTGGCCAGCGCTCTGCTCGAAGCGGGGTGGTCGGTTTGACTGCAAAGTATCAACGAAAGAGTTAGACAGCAGCAATGGCGAAAAGGAGCCTGTACTGCGCTAACAGGTGCGGCGATGGCTCTATGAACCACATTACAGCCAAGAAACCTGGCCGACACTGGGTGCATCACATTTGCAGGGAGTTGAAACTCCATAGCTCAGTCATTAGAGCATCGCTGGCCTCAAGCGAAGGTCCCTGGTTCGAGTCCTTTTCGTGACAATCAATTTTCTTCAGATTTTTCCCATTTGCATCCTTTCCTCAAAGGAATTTGGATGATAAAAAACGTCAGCACGGCCATTGAGGTTTTGGCCCCATCAGGATTTGGTTTTCAGCTTTCTATTTCAAACTCACAACTAAGCAATGCATCTGCGACCTTGCTAGGCAGCCACATGTCAGTCGGTAGAAAGACCTTTGAACTCGGCAACCTTAAATTTTAATGCTAAAGACCATAAACATGAACCACCACTAGAACATCATTACCATATTTGCCGCAGTATAAGCCGCACTGGAGTACAAGTCGCACCCAGTTTTTGTTTGTCATGAATTGCGGACATCTGCCCGGTTTAAATTTTTATACAGGTGTCTAAAGTGCGGTTTCTACCCCGGAAGATAGTTTTGTTGACGGATTTTCGTCTGGCTCATTCTTTGATGAATAGGGGCCATGCACCCTTTGGCTTGATATGCCAAAACTTAACAATTGATCCTAATTGTTTAAAAAATGTATAACTGGTGTCTCTGGTGCGTTTTCACTGCCCTTGCAAACTAGATCATCCGTTCACGGAATTCTGCCCGCAAATTGGAACCATTGTAGCCATGTTCAACAACACAGAAGCCACATTCCAAACAGCCCAAATAGCCTGCTCAAAAGCCAACCAGAAAGAAATTGGTCGCTTACCGGGTGCAGCAGAATTTGCAGATGGCTGCGTCCAGCGGCTCTTGAAGAAGGTCCGCCGATACTTCAATCTCGACTACACTCCCGTTGTATGGCTGGGACAACGGGATTCAGAAGCAACTGCCTATGCCAGCAACAGCAACTCGTATTCGACAACCACCAAGAAGCTCTACTACATGTGCAATTTCTAAGCTTGAGTAGCCTAGCTAAACGTGGTTACCCATATTTTGTTGCTTGAAGAGTATTTTCTGATATTTGGAAAAGAAGATTTGTTTGTAGGGGATCGTTTTTGCTACTTACAGCCCATTCATTGGAAACTGGCACCATAACTTTTTGGTGTCTCTCTCACATAGTTGTAGATATCGTGAAAACAACAGTACATCCTGCATTGTGTGACCCGTGTGTAGTGTTCACGTGTTCCTACGCGCTGTGGCATTCCTTGGCCACTCCAGACATTCATGATGCATGTAGCATGTGCCGTTTCCCGCGCGCGCGTGAAACGGACATCGCGGCTTTTAGTTGCTGTGCATGGTTTGACTCTGGACTCTGGTTGTTTTGGACTGAAGAAGAAACGATACTACATTGGCGCTGCGAGCTATTTCGTTCCTCCGCGGCGAGCATGGGTGACCGACCACCCGCCATTCCGCCCCCTGGACCTTTTCCTATTTATGTCTCCCTCTACGATGCCGCCACGCGCTGGCCCGCCTGGACACGGAGTTTCAAACTTTATCTTGCTGCGTCCAAAATTGGCGATGACGACCAACAGCGTGGGCTACTCCAGTACCTGGGAGGAGACGACATCCAGCAACTCGTGCCCACTCTCAGCAACACAGGGGCAACATTCGACGACCTCGCCAAAGCATTGCAGGACGAGTTCGATAAACACCAAAACAAAACGCTCCTCAGGTTCAATTTCCGTCAGCTTCGTCAACAGCCGAACGAGACTATGCAGGGTTTCTGTTGTCGTTTGAGCGACCACGTGAAACGCAGCGGCTTCCCGGATATGGCCGCGGAGAAATTGGCTGTCTTGGACCAGCTGATTATCGGCTGCAAGTCCGACGCCCTTCGGCGAAAACTGCTGGAGATCGATGGCCTCGACTCCGACAAAGCTCTGAAAGCAGCCCGCGCGTATGAGGCCAGCATCACCCATGTACTCGCCATCAAGGACGCCTCTCTGGGCTCTTCAGTGGCTTCACAGCAGGACGCCCACGTCGCTTCCCTGGCGTCAGCAGCACCCCAGCCTGCCCATGTGGATGCCCTCTCGGGGTCACAGCGCCACGGCTACGCAGCTGCACGCCAGCCCCAAGCCCAGTGTCCACAGTCTACCTCATCCGGTCTGACCTGCTACCGGTGTGGAAAGCCAGGCCATGCCACATGTGACGCTGCCAAGGGCCAGTTCTGTAGCCGCTGTGGCAAGCCAAACCATTTCGCTGCGGCATGCCGCGCCTCGGACTCCGCCATCCAGGCCCGCACGTTCAGGGAACGCCGTCCCCACCAACACGCTGACCAGCACGCTGTCAACAGCGGCCACCATGCCATTCATTCTTTAGAGATTGGCGCAGAGCTGTTTTCTACCGACTCTCCGCCTCGCCCATCTACGGCACCCTGCCGTGAGGATGCCCGGCGCACCGTGCACGTCAACGGCATACCCCTGACTGTCTTGGTGGATAGTGGTGCCAGTCACAATATCATCAATACTGATGACCTGGCAAAGGTTGCCCCTGGTGCAGCACTTCAGCAAACGGATGTGCAAATCTTTGCTTACGGCTCAACTTCACCTCTTCCTCTTCTGGGTAGCATCCCCCTCTGTGTTTCCTCCGCTACCATGAGTTCGACGGCAACATTCCTCGTTGTCGCACACGCGCCACGTACCGCTGCTATCGTTGGCCGCGAGACCGCCATGCGTTTTGGCCTCATCCAGCTGGTCCACAGCATCGAAAGTCCGCAACTGCCAGACGACCTTGCTGAGTACCACGACCGCTTCCAGGGCCTCGGCTGCATCAACGACGTAGAAGCCCATATCTACGTAGATGGCAACGCCCGCCCTGTCGCTCACGCACCATCCAAAGTGGCTGTCCACCTCCAGGAGGACGCGCTCGCTGAGCTCCATGAGCAGCTCGCATTGGATGTCATCGAGCCTGCCACTGGCCCCACCCCATGGGTTGCCCGAATGGTGGTCGTGCCGAAGCGCAAGGGCAAAGTGCGCCTCACGCAGGATTTCCGTGATGTCAATGCCGTTGCGGCCCGGGAACGCCATCCCATCCCCACGCTTGAGGAGATTACTTCCGACATGCCAGGGGCCACCGTGTTCACCGAGTTGGATATGAACAAGGCCTTCCACCAGATCTCACTGGCCGAGTCATCCCGTCTTTTCACCGTGTTCCACACACCCCTCGGCCTAATGCGGTGCAAGCGACTCGCCATGGGGTTGGCTTCAGCGTCTGAGATCCTCCAGCGGACCATGGACCGTGTCCTCGCGGGTCTCCCAGGTGTTCGCAGCGTGCACGACAATATATTCATCTACGGCGAGACGGCCCAAGTCCACGATGAGCGCCTGCACGCCTGCCTGCAACGCCTACGTGCCCACAATGTTACCCTCAACCTGGCGAAGTGCCAGTTTCGCCAAACCCGCCTGGCCTTCATGTCGACTATCTACAGTCGCCGGGGCACTCAGGCTGCACCACACCACAAAGAGAGCATTGCTGTTTTCGCCACACCCAAGTCAGCTTCCGATATCAAGAGTTTCCTGGGTTTGGCGACATTCATGCGCCATTACATCCCCGACATGGCCACCAAGACGGCACCCCTGCGGAAACTCCTTGGCAAGGGTCAGCAGTGGGATTGGTCACCCGAGGCTCAGGCAGCATTCGATGCCATCAAAGCCGACATAGCAGCTGATCGGGCCCTCGCCTACTTCGACCGTACCAAACACACTCACCTTTACGTCGATGCCTCACCCGTTGGCCTTGGCGCCATCCTCTGCCAGTCTCCCGAAGCAGTCGTCCAGGATCACTCCGAGCTGAAACCAGTCGCATTCGCAAGCCGCAGCCTGACCCCCACTGAGCAGCGTTATTCGCAAATGGAACGCGAAGCCCTCGGTGTGAAGTACGGCTGCTTGCGCTTCTCCCATTTCCTCAGCGGCGACCCCGGCTTCACGGTCCACACCGACCACAAGCCCCTTCTACAGCTGCTTCACCCGTCTTCACGACCTCCACCCTGCATTGAACGGATGGCTCTCAAGGTCCAAGACCTCCACTTCAAGCTGGTGTATGAACCTGGCCCTTCCAACCCAGCAGACGTCTTGAGTCGTCACCCTCAGCCACATCCTCCCCTGCCGAATGTTGGTGAGGAGGAGGACACCGCCTATATCAATGCCATCGCGCAGTCCTCTGTTCCCAACGCCCTCCTCTTGTCCGACATCCAAGGCACAACTCGAGCAGACTCAACGCTCCAGGCCGTGCTGCTGTCACTGCAGACGGGCATGTGGGACGACAAGGCAGTGGACATCCGCCCTTTCTACACGCAAAGGCATGAACTCTCCGCCGCCGACGGTCTCCTGCTCAAGGACCATCGTCTGGTGATTCCACTGTCTCTCCGAGAGCGGACACTTCAACTGGCCCACTCCAGCCACCAAGGCATGACACGGACCAAGCAACGACTGTACACGAAAGTCTGGTGGCCTGGCATGACGTCCGCTGCGGAATCCCTCTGCCGCCAATGCCTCTCCTGTCAGGCAAACACGCCAACAGGCCCATACAGGCCGGAATCCACACCGACCCCACCATCGACGGCGCCATGGCAACGGGTGTTTGTCGACCTGTATGGCCCCTTGCCAGGCGGAAGCACACTCTTGGTTGCGGTGGACCAACTGAGTCGCTACCCAGTCACTCACGTGTTCAACTCCACTCCCGCTACAGCTGGCGTACTTGCAGTGCTCCGCAGTGCGTTCGCAGCATTCGGCCTGCCAGAAGAAGTGGTCTCTGACAACGGCCCCCAGTTCCGCTCGGTGGAGTTCAACCGTTTCCTGGCCCAGATGGGCATCGCTCACCGTTGCACGCCTCCTCTCTGGCCCCAAGCCAATGGTGCAGTGGAGCGGATGAACCGCACGATCGGCAAGGTCCTCCGTGCTGCCCAACTGGATGGCCGAGATTTGCGTGCTGCACTTGACGAGTGGCTACTCGCATACCGCACCACTCCCCACCCCGCCACAGGCCTGCCGCCAGCTACCATCATGTTCGGCCGCAGCATCCGGGACACTCTCCCCAGCCTGTGCACGGCCCCAGCACCAGATGCGACCGTCACGGCGAACAAGGAGCATGCGTTCCGCGCCCGCCAATGCGAGGCGGCGAACCACCATCGCAGTGCGCAACCGGCTTCGACCATCACCCTCAAGCCGGGTCAACAAGTTCTGCGCAAGAACGAACGGCAGCACAACAAGCTCGACTCAATCTGGGATCCAAACCCATGGACTGTGGACGAGATGACGGGCTCCACCGTGGTCATCACCCATCCAGTCACAGGCCAGCGGGTCTCTAGGCATGTGTCATTTATGAAGCCGGCTCCCGCTATCGTGGTTCATCCTCCGTCGCCCGAGCCTCCACTACCTACCCCGCCGCCACCACCGACAACACCACCCCTGCCCCACCGGCGGCGTCAGCAGCCACCGCGCTCGGCCAAGGCGGTCCACAAATATTTCCAAACAGCACGCGCCACCTGATGTATGTGTACATCAAGTCCACCCTGAATCTCAGACTGGCTTCAGTTTTTTCCCTTTTATCCTTTGTGTGACTGTTTACCTGCTCCGCCTTTTCTATCTGTAGCATAGGGAGAGGGACAGCCTGACATCAAGTCATTTATCCATGCCTCGTGTTTTCAGTTTTCAGTTTTCCACTTTTCACCCTACGTTTTTTCATCTGTGCTTGGGAGAGATGTAGTGTTCACGTGTTCCTACACGCTGTGGCATTCCTTGGCCACTCCAGACATTCATGATGCATGTAGCATGTGCCGTTTCCCGCGCGCGCGTGAAACGGACTTCGCGGCTTTTAGTTGCTGTGCATGGTTTGACTCTGGACTCTGGTTGTTTTGGACTGAAGAAGAAACGATACTACACCGTGCAATTACTCCTTGCCACATTTGAGGCCAGAAAAGTCCAAGAACAGGGAAATATAAATTCAGCCAGGTTTTACAAAATTAGGACAGGTATGCCATGGCAAAATGTATGGAGAAGAAAATCCTAAACCCTGATTTTTGATATTTAAAGTGGGTTTTTGATCCTCAATTCGGCCCAAATCCGACTTTCAAAAGCCAGCGATATAGGTTTCCGATGAATGGACTGTAGTATGTTCCCCTGGTACACTGCTGTGTTCCAATTTTGTTGTTGTGGTTGTTTTTTTGTTGTATATTTTTATAATTATTTTTCTTGCTGCCTCGTTGAGACCTGCGTTG